ATGTACAGTCATCTCGACGTAGTTGCGCGAGCACTTGTGCAAGTACGCCGCCAAGCCAAGGAACGTTCAAAGTCCCTTGACGTCGACTGGTACATGCCAGTCGATAGTCGCCTTGATCTTTCCTGAATCAGGGCACACGCCTATTTTACCCACAATGCAGCCAAGAAGTGGTATGTTCGCTTGCTGCGAGTATACACTTCTTGAGGTCCGCGAACAACTTATGCTCTCGCGTTAGTGTAAGAACCTTTTGGACGTGGATTTATGAACCTACACCTCCGTCTTTCCATCCACAGCCTGGCTATGGATTAAGACATCGTCAAAGTAACTCGGTGCAAAATCTCACACCGATTGCAACAGATTCGTAACACATCTGTTAAATGTTGCGTGGGCATTACTTAGCCCCTGTGGCATCACTAGCCACTCCCAGAGCGCACCGCAGGGGTTTCTCACTGCTGTGTATGGTATTCCCCGTTCACGCATGAGAATCTGATAGAATCCATCCATTAAATCCATGGATGAAAAGATGGTACTCTTTGCCATACCATCTATGATGACGCCCATCCTAGGTATCGGCGTTTGAGCCGGTACCGTTTGCAGCGTTCAATTTGTTGAACGCGTGCACTATCCGCCACCCTCCTGTGGCCTTTCGCACACAGAAGGTTGGAGATCTACGTAGGGATGTTGATTCCCTCACATGACCAGCCGCTAATCGGTCGGCAAAGAATTTGGAGATCGCTGTGACCTGTTCACGAGGCAGTGGCAACTGCTTCATGACACAGTACTTCGAACCAGGTTTCAGTTAGATCTCACGATGAGTGCCTTTGTCCTTGGGCAGCTCTCATGGCACGGATTCAGGAAAAACATCCCTGAATACAACCAAATCCTTATGCAAAGGATTTGTCTTTAGAGACTCCCAAGATTGAGACGTGCATCGCTCAATCCAGGTCTTCTCATCGAGGACACTATCGTCCATAGATGATCTACTGAGAATCCGTTCGTAATCAGCGATTCTTGTGCCAACCGAATTTCGGCGATGTACTCGTCCTCTGTGACGAGTAAGCAGATCTGCTTGATCTTGTCACTACGCAGATCTCGCCAAAATCTTTTAGATTGTAGTGTTGGCAACTTGACTACATCCGAAGCTGTCTTTAGGGACGTAACCAGATCAAGTGTATAAGCGTCTACACTTGATCCGTCATTCACCAAGACATTCACTGTCTCGGTGATTTCCTGGGAAAACACATCCGCAGGTGGTTGGGGATCCACACCCTCAACATAACTCTCTCGGGAGTTATTGCTCTCAAGAACGCTGGATTTTTCTTCCATTGTGTGCATTATTACGGTCACGTCCTCTTCGATCGACTCTCTTTCAGTCGATCGGGCTTGCTCTACGATCGAATCTCTGATAGCCGATCCCGCGTTAATGTTTCGTTCATCCTGATCAGCGCTCATAACTCTTCTCGGATGCACAATCCTTGGTGTGCATCCGTGTTTCAGTCCACTCAGCCTCTTCTAGCGATGAATCTTCGGCTCAGCCTGTGTCTTTGCACTGGTGCCGAAAGCTGGTTCCACAGGGTAGTGGCCTTCTACACTGTGATCTTGTGCATCCATGATAACGACCGTATCACAAGTGAGACCATCGCACTCACTCGTGGTACATCCACACGCTTGTGGACACTCCAAGACGTTCATCAGATGGCCATCTGATGAACAACGGCAGGCATCTTCACGGATCGATGCTTCTAGCCAACCCATAGATTTTATTTTCTAAGCCATGTCAGACCGGGGATGACATCGAATTTGTCATTTAGATCCGGTATGATAAAGTCATCATCGTACTTCTTTTTATTTAGCGTGTAGCGGATTCCCACTACACGTTTATTCACTGTTACGGATGCGCCTGTAGCAAGGTACACCGTCGTCCTCGTTGGAGGGAAATCTCGCTCAACATAGTTATGTCTACTATCCTCTAGCGACTGACGCCGGATAAACTGTTCGACGCCCCACATTCAACCAGGGCGCGAAGTGACATTCCGCTTGTCACTTCGATTTTCAAAGTGATGAGAGACACCTCGTCACCAAAGGCAGTAACACGAAGCGACTTTGTTTTGGGAGCAACCTTCGTCAAGAGTCCTGCAAATTCTCTTGAATTTGCTGGATTATCAGGGTGCTCACCCCTACTGGCCCTGTCCGTTTTTTTACGGTCCGACTTGCTGTCGCAGCTGGGCGACATGGTCAAACCCACGCCTCGGACCTTTCCTTGACCAACGGTGGTCATCACTTTCTTTCTTTGAACGTTTTGCAGTGCTTTGGACACTACACTCATGAGCGTAGTGTCCGATCTTCTGACAGCGATGGCATCTTACTGTTTGCTTGTGACTCAGACAGCGAGAGTTCTCGCTCTCGATGTAACAGAGGTCCGATGGTTGGGACTTTCTGTTTCCTGTCGTCTCGTCGGATGATACTTGGTCGAGTTAGCCTGAGACTGTCTCAGGCTGAAGTCTTCTTACTCCGCATACGCTTTCGCCTTTTAGCGTATGGAAGTCCTCTCGGAACATGTAGGTCTTCACCGGTCCCATCCACAAGGCCGTAGATGAACACGTTGATGAGCGTGGGCTCATCAACAACGCATTCCGAGACGCTACTTGCAAGGTAGCGTAGGTGTTGTGCGTAATCTTGCACGTCACGCTAACCTTGCTTTAGCCTCAAGAGTGCATAGCGTGCTCTGAACTCGGCTCTCGGCGGCTCAAACGTCTCTTTGAGACCGAGACTTCAAGATCTTCAACGACTCAAACACGTTTAGGTCGTGAAGCTTGAGCCGTAAGGCCCAAGTCTTTACTCGTCCCGTCAAATTTGACAGGGCGAGGGTGATTTGTATCTCGTCACCCTCGATGTGACGGGCCCTGATGGCATCGTCTAACTCGACGAACTATCTCAAAAGGTAATCTTCATCGGTTCTCTTGTACCTTGAGACATCAATCTTTAAGGTTTCGGGTTGACGCGTGTGCGTCGGCCCGCCCATCGACTGATGAGAGCCTTGCTGTTGTAGCAAGGCGATCTTCTGTCTTTCGACGGCAAGTTCCCCTTGTAGGAACTTGTTGATAGCAGCATGTAGCTGGTCTCTGCTTAGAGACTCCAACATACCACTAATGCCGGGTTCGCCCATGAGCACACTCATGCGGCCGACTACCTCCCATTCTGAGTCACTGAGATTGGGAGTAGCCTTCACGTGTGAGGTGAAAGCTGTCGTTTTCTACGTCCAACATGTTCATGTTGGACGGACACTAAGTAGTCGTTGGGCGGAATAAGAAATGCTACCAGGTGTAGCGGGGCACCATTTGTCCAGGTGCCACGAAACTTTACGTACAATAGCACGTGCAGAGGAAGCTTAACTACTTGAACGACTTGATCAAGTAAAGTTAAAAAGAGAACTGTACGTAATAAATTTAAGCTATCAAAATAGCTTTAATCTTTATCGAACTATATTAATCTACATTGTGGTATGACGACAACTTGCTCACCAATCATTACGCGCGTCTAGCAGCGATTGGTGGTGGTCTAGGTCTAAACGTCTTAATCGACCAAATTTTTTGAGCAGCGCATGAATATTTTTAAAAAGGGGATAAAGTCCCTTAATAACTATCCATCTAGAATAAAATTGGCAGAGTAATTGTCACGCGAGACAATCTCCGTATTGACACCGTTTGGTGTCGATATCATGGTACGCGATACCCCGTTTTAATGACAGCTACTTTTACATATGCATCAACGTCTAAGACAAGGTTTTCGTCGAAAATGCCAGGAAAAAGATCCAACAGGTCAAGACGGCACTAAAAAGCTCGTATAAGTTGTAGGAGCTAGTAAAAAATGATAAAATTAGCATAGAGATCGATCACGAATTCTACGTCAGTGCACTGACGATTCGACAGACTCGCTAGATAGATGAAGTGGTCAGCCGTTTCAACCAAGAGGACGCCAAGGCAGTGAATTCCTTATTCAAATTGTTATTGAAGATACCGAATCTGTAATCTCTTGCGACAGACGCTTTGCGAGAAGAAATGAAGTCGATTTCAAACAAGTAGTTAATCGGTTGTTTACTATACATCAAAACATGTTACGCTCTGATGTGGCACATATCGTCACACAGTCATATGATGGCGTATATTGGCCGGTGACATTCACGAGTCGCACACTGAAGCCCAACGAGGTTAATTATGGCATGGTGGTCAAAGAAATATTAGCCCTACTTAGAATTTTGGAGGTAAAGACGTTACTGGAAAAGGCGAATATTTACAACGGTAAAGACAGTTACGTACAAAGTATAGTCTGCGTATATGGGCCACCCCGTACATACGTCACTTCGATTAAGCTTACATGTCACTTAAGTAAAGGGCTACTACCGAGGTAGCGGAAGTAGCACGTCGTCTATTTTAGCTGGTTTAATGAGCTTTTTTCCATTGTTAGCCAGTAAGATATCGGCAAGTAGATTGGGTGGTATCACATGAGTCCCATTCGTACTTTGGATGATAAAAGACGACGATATAAACAGAGCTAATATTCTTAACACCTAAATCGTGGGTCCAGGTTTCCTTAGCAAAGATAGTGTAAGTTAGTTCGGGTTGTACTAGGCATAGATAATGTAAGTTACAAGGTTATTCTAGACCTGTTATAGATGCCTTTCATCGCCTCACGGCGATATCAAGAGAGGCATTAGTTTCGTCGCTGATGAAATGAGAAGCTTAAGATGACCAGTGTCTCGCCAAAAACGATTTCATGGTTCGCGAGCTCGCCGAATCCAATTGGCGAGATTTAACCCCCTTGTGAGCATCAAAGAATTATGCCGTGAAGATGGAGACCTCCGTCTACTTCGGCATAGAAAAGAACGCCTGTCGCTGGAGCTTTGGTTCCAATAAATTGATAGTGCTATCGCCCCGAGACTTCTCGAGGCTCCCCAGGCATAAGTCAAAAGTAAATTGTCCCGCCTAACTGGGAAAGCAAAGATGTGGGCTCTCGGTAAACTCGTCGTGGACAAATTCGCATTCGCCACTCTAAAAGCCATCCAAAACGACCTATGGCTTGCCTTCGAGCCGCCACAAGAAGAGAAGTTAATGCGTACTAGGTTCCTGTCGTTGAGACAGAGCAAGCAGGCCATGCATGACGACGTGCAGATGGCTCGGCATCTGCTGCCGTCATGCATTGTCACGCATTCCATGGACATGTACACAAAAGTGAACGTCTTTGCTGACAGTGTGCGTGAGGGGCAGACTCGCCTGTCGCTAGAACGCGCGGAGCATGCCACGATATTAGATGATTTCGGTATTGCCCTTCGCGAAGACACTAGATTCAACAAGGCGTACACCAAGCTTTCGGTTGTTACCGCTGTCAGATCAGCGGATCCGGGACCTTTGGAGATTAACGCGATTGAGTCGTCGGGTGACCGACCACGTGCTTAATTCTACAAGTGCGACGTCCTTAGCGGACTTCAGATGATCTGCTTTCGATTTTGCACGCCGGGAAATCGCGCGGCTGAATGTCGCTCACCAGCGCCGATGTCGGGGAGTGTGACGAACACCTATCATGACGGAGGTTCTCACTTGCTAAAAAACGGACGAGACCAGTAGGTGCAGGGCGCCCTAACGATTTGGAGGGATGTCCGGGTCCACCGGTGGCAGCCCGACCTACCTGCCTTTATGTGCTGCGTGCACGGTTAAATTCGACCACTACGAGTGTCGATTTGCGCCTGATCATTTTCAATTTGCATGTTGCCGGTGTCCGGCGACCTCTACGAGCGCTCCCGGACTCAGAAGCGACAAACAATATCTTCGGTGAATCTTATATGTCGATGTTGCCCCCCAGGATATAGGTCCGCGAGGGGCCTGGCCAAGTTGTCGTCAAGCTCGCGAACGGAAAACCACCGCGCGTATCGCGGCGCGAAGTGTCGCTCCCGTGCACGTTCAACGGCTTTTGCAGCAACGAAAACTTCTGGGTGAATAAGAGGGAATATGCGTTCGATTGCATCCAGTTAATTCCACGGTTGGCCCGTTACAATCCCCGTCTTTACTGGTTAGCGAGTTCCGTAAGACGTCGACGCAAGATCGAAGTCCTAGAAGTGTTTACCTATCTCTTGGTGTCCCCAAATGATTGGTTTAACGTCGTAGTCGTGGATCGTAATATCACGACACCGGCGGTGTACAGAGCGAGCAATGGCCCTCTATGCAACGATTGTGCCGTTCTCACGAGCGCAAACGCCAACGACGATCCTCGCTTTGTAGCAAGGAGTATAACGCCGATGCGCAGTGTCTCCCGCACTAGGACGACGCGGACGAGTAGTGGATTTTGCACGAGGAGGACGCGGTAGAATAAAGGTTTCCGCATGAGAGAGCACAGGTCGAACCGGGGTTCATACCTACACTTTTTGCGGTTGAGTAGAGAAACCCACACAACCAAGATGAGGACGAGCAAAAGCTCGCCACCGAGTGTGACATGGACGGACAGGAGTCCCCACGTCAGAACATGATGGTTGAACAGGGGTTCTAATCATCACCCACTGCGGTTGAACTGGTGTTCCCAGATAGGCAACATGTGGTAGAGAAGAAGCTCCGTACGAGGTTACGGTGTCAAGCAGGGGTCCCTGCATCACGAGTCGACGGACGAGTTTGAGATACCCCTGTCACGCAATTTCGACATTTTGAATGATAACATCCAGTGTCTAGAGAGGGGGGGGGTGATGGGTTGACACCTGAAAGAGGATCGCCAGCTTCGAGCATGGACATGAAGCACAAGGAGCAAGCACCGATAATACAGCGTTGGGATGCGTCCACGCTGTCGTGTACGTGGACTGGAGTCGCAAAGGCGCCAACACATTGAAGTCGCGAGTCCACTTCACGACGCGTCTTCGATTACGAGGCTTCTAGGGCTCTCCTCAAAAGCATTTCATACGTTCCCTAAAGGGAGGCACGGTGGTACAGGTTTGCCTGGTCACCATCGAGGTGACTCCCGAGCTAAACGAGGAGCACATGACGCTACCTTGAAGCGCTGAACCAAAGTCAGCGCGTGAAGAAATATTTTCATCGCGGTAATGGGAGGCTCAGCGTGGGTCCGGTAACCATGTCCACGAGATTGCTCGGGAGTGCGCAGACGTTTTTTTGGACATGATTATTCGGCTTAACTTCCTGCCGATCATGGTGTGCAGCACGAGATTGATCTTGTGCCAGATTCAAAATACTGTGTGACCCAGCAGTGGTTGAAGCATCGATACCAGGAAAAGACCATTGATGCATTCTTTGAAGGTCGTATAAAGGCGGGCTACATGCGTGAGATTATCTCTCCACACTCGAGCCGGACCTTCTGTGCGAAGAAGGCTACGAAATGATGGCGGTTAGTGCACGCACTCAATAAGACAAATGATGCTTCTAACCCCGCAAAAACGCCTGATCCCATTAAGACGTGGTGTTTAATTCCATGTTGAGAAGTGTCATCTTCAGCGCCATCGACCTGACGGATGGCTTCTATTAGATTGTGATGCAACAGAGCGACATACCACTCACAGCGGTAAGAACACCAAGTGGTCTGTTATGGGAGTGACTGGTAATGCCACAAGGATGGAAAAACGAATTAGACACTTTCAAACGCTTGATATCTTAAGTGTTGAGACCGCTTCGAGACTTTGCGTCTAAGCTACTTTGATGAACTTTTAGTCCACAGTCGCGCTGAGGGCAACCTCAGTGCTGTCCAAGTACATCTTCAACACTTAAAACAGGTGATTCACGTCATGCGAGACACCGAGCTGTATGTAAACTTGAAGAAGCGCGTATTCTGTGCACCGTAAATTCAGGTGTTGGATTGCTACGGAAGCAAATCTGGGGTTAGAGCCTATCCAGAGAAGGTGTCGTCTTTCAGTTCTTGGCCAACACCCTCGAACCCTACGAAGCTGCTCAATAGCTCGTTCTAGCCAACTACTTGCAAAGTGTACCAATGATTACGCCGGTAATATACAGCCTCTGTCTTCACTGTTGGAGAAACACTTAGTGTGGTCGTGGCGTCCCGAGCATCAAGCGGACTTCAACGCATTGAAGAAAAGCCTGGCGTTATCGCCAGTGCTGGTACTCCCGGACGACACCAAGCCGTTTCACGTGGCGTGTGATGCAAGTGATTTTGCTTTTGGTTGCTCCTTTGTGCAGTTTGATCATGAGGGCGATGTAAGAGTCGTGAGTTACCAGTAGCGGCAGATGAAGCCGGCGGAGAAGAATAATCCGGTTCACGTAAGAGAATTGCTAGCATTGCGCTACGCACTCATCAAGTTTTGAGTAGACCTACCGGAAGAACGCACTTTTGCCCTGTATAATGATCAGGCATAGCTGCGCACAGCGATGAAGAGCCCACACCTGTCTCAGCGAACGGCACGATGCCTCTCTTTCTTCTCCGACTACAACTAGTATCGCACACTACAAGACAGACAGGGCTTAAACGCTTGCTGACGCGCTGTCACGATGCCAGGACACGACCTTTGGATGGCGCTGAGTCTTCAGGCAACAGACGACGTCGAAGACGATCGATGTGCTACGTGTGTGTCATTTAACTTTACTTAAGTCACACCCGAGATATGCCTTTCCGATGAAATGGTCGCGGCTTACGCGAACGATCCAGATAACGCGGACAATATTGCCTATCTGCGCGCTCCCAGTGATGATGCACTGGGAGATCTTTGGCGAACGAAGCGTGATCACTTCCAGCGATATAGTATGGATGGTAATCTGATGCTGTATAGCATCAACCGGTTCAATGCACCTCTAACGGTAATTGAGAACGTCGGATATGCGTGCTCGCAGAATCCTCGAGTACCGTGATGCCCCAGTTGGCGGTCACTTGGGCCGCGAAACGACTTTCGCGGCTGTGTTGAGAAAATCTTTCTGGCCCCACATGTACGAATGGGTTCGCTATTGGATTCGCACATGCGAAACTTTACCAAAGAGTGAAGCCATATCCATCGTCGCAGGTCCCCCTGCGACCCTTGCTGATTGCAGCTGAGGCTTGGCGCTCAGTGTCCATAGAATTAATTTTCGGGTTCGTGCCCGTTATTCAGAATCGAACCGGATAGATAGTCTTCATGGACGGATTCAGCAAGATGACATATTTGGTGCCTGTTCAAGCAACAATCACCGCGGCTGAGATCGCGTTGCACTTCTTTGTCACAATGTTTCGCCACTCGGTGTACCAGACGAAATTGTTTCGGACCGTGATCCTACCTTCACATCTGCTTTCTGAACCGCAATATTTAGCCCCTTGGCACGAAGCTGAAAAGGTCGACGGCAGCCCATCCAGAAACAGATGGGCAAACAGAGCGGGCCAACCGGGTATTCGAAGATAATCTTTAAATCTATGCTACTTGTAACGGGGCACCCTGAAGCTTGTACTGGTGACATTACAAGCTACTTATTCTGTTGACAGAATAAAGATGTGCCTCGTTACTTCACGTACACTCGAGCGTGCAGAGGGATACGGTAAGAAGAAGCGAGTACTTGGTTAAAGCAAAAAGTAGAACTGTATTTAGTATAGTTAATGTCTGTTAAAAAATCACTATTTATCCTCTTCGTTGGTTGATACAATGGCCTATATCAACCAATTAGGAACTACTCGTAAGTGCTACAGAATTTTTGTCCTTATGACATATTCTGAGAATATAACTCTTATAGTTATATTCTATTAACAATTTCTTGTAAATTGTTATGTAACGATTCACCCCGTCACATCACTCCCCCTTAATTATCAGTCACTTTAGTGACTGATTGACTAAATGGATACTCGTCCCAAATCATTTGGGACAGGGTTTGCACTTGTTGTTCCGAGTCCACTTTCCAACATCTCATCCCATGGTTAACAAGCCCATGCGGTGCGAGAGCAAGGCCGCCGAGAGCGCGTCCGCACGTCTCTGTGCGGACGCCGAAGCAGAAACCACAGTAACTGATGTGTTGTTGGTTGCTGAAGCGACTCAGCCTGTATGACCTGGTGATGCAGGCGCTCGCCATGAAGACACTCGTGTCTTCAAAGAGTATGAGCTCGGTGTCTCATACTCTCCTGATACGGAAGATGGATCTGTATGGACGGCGATCGAATCCAAGCCGCCTGCCAAGAGTGGCATGGATGATGCTACGCGTCGTAGCATATTTGATTCATCTGACGAATAAGATGAACCATCGGCGAAGCGAAGGCGCTCGAGGTCGCGAGACTCGGGCGCTAACAGTGGTGTCGGTTCTCCTATTGACACCACTTCGCAGCGAGGTGCCAGTACTTCTGTCGGCACGTCGCAGGAAGATCAGGACCGCAACGTGTTGCGTCTCGCTCCTGAAAAGAAGGCATGGATGCCTCCAAAATCTGTCATGGATCACTTGTCGGCGACGACGAGTGATCGTTATCGAACACGATTGTTCGATTCGTCAAGGATCCATCATCTTGACCCCAGCGCGAAAAACTATCGCGCTGAGAATGAGTTCTTCATTGATGCTTTCTTTAGACATCGATGGTACAGTAGGAATCACAAGCGTGATGGTCCCTCACTGCTTCAGGCGTGGAGCGCCTACATCCATAACCTTGAGGATGTAGGTCGTGACGCTTGGAACGACAAACTTATCAAAGCTCGTGATAAGTTTGAAAAGCGAACCCCGACAGGTGCAAGCTACAAGCTGCATCGTCTATCAAGAGAGAAAGGATTACCCTGCCTCTCCTGGGGAGAATCGTGCCCTTGTTGTATAAGCAACTCTGCGCGCGCACCTAAGGAGGCTTACTTTCTTACTAGCCCGTGGTGGCGCGTACGAATCTCTAGTGAGATGTACGAAGGGATTGACAACCTGAAATCCCTTTACGACCGTGCCGGAAAGACTTTCTCGGGCGGTCCTTCTGAGGCACAGGAAGTGCCGCGTCGTACTGCTCAACCAAACCCAGTAAGTCAATCATCTGTTGGGAGCGGGGCTCCCAAGTATCCCAGGACGGGGGATAACCGCGCCACCGGACGAGGTAACTCGTCCGATGTCCAATCACACACCGGTTGTTCAACAGCCGCTCAACCAGATAGCGCTGGCCACCGCGAGAGTCATCTAATGGAGGTGGAGGAGGAGGAAAGACGCTCTCCACACGATCGTGGGGAAGCGTGTGTCTCTGAGAGCTTCTTTGATCGCGTAACGCAAGGGTTACGCGGCGATCTCGAACATGAGCGGGACAGGCGTCTCCAATTGGCGGACACTGTCTTGAAGCATCGAGCTGAGTTTGCCTTTGCTCAGCTTGAGAACGAGAGAGCGTTGACATCTCTGCGTGACGAGCTAAGGGTAGCTCGTGTGGATATCGACCGGTCTCGGGATGAGATAACTGCTCTTCAGACCCTTGTCGATGCCCACCATCGGGAGCACAAGGCTCTGTGCGAGATGCTTGAGCGCAAAGGCGTTCTTCATCGGAAGAAGCAGCGTACTGATGGTACGGCATAAGCCGACCAACGTAAAACGTGGGATGCGTTCGCATCTTACGTGGCAACTCGATCGTGCATGCATTGCCTAGGCGATGCTATACACGAAATGGGTCGATGTACTTGGGTAGAAGTTTACTACTACCCAAGTTAGTCACTACATGCTTTGGTAGGTAACCGTAGACAGTAGAACTAAGTCACCTTTTTTAAATAAAAGAGTGTTTTCCCTTCCATTCTTGTCAGCGTTTTGCTTTTGCGTATCCACCTCTTCGGCGATGGAGTCTTGCACAAAACGGACTACCGTTTCATGAGCCAGTATGAACTCATCTGATGACTCGTTAGCTTCAGTGCGCTGTGAGCGCACTGCAGCAACATCAACCTTTTCTTCAGTGAGGGCTTCCGCACTCTCACTGGGATCATCTACTTCAGTGAGGGCTTCCGCACTCTCACTGGCATCATCTTCTTCGATATCGATGTTATCGATATCGGCATCAAACGAAATGACCTCTTCGTCAGAGCGTGATGATCGTAAACCAAATCAAATTTTGCTCGCGCGAGTCCCTCCCCCCCTTAAACCAGAGTTACACTCTAGTAAGGTGGGTACACGCGGATGGCGTAAGCCGTTCACGTAAAACGGTGTATGTGTCGTAGACGCATGCGCCGAGGTGTTAATGGCAAACTCTACCATCAGCAAGAACTCATTCCAACTCTTAAAGGAGTGTAAGGATCCTCGAAGTATCTCTTCAAGGACACGATTGGCTCGCTTCGTCTGGCCATCTGACTCTGGATGATCAGATGTCGACATCTTCAAGCGCGTTCCTAGTGATTTGAACACGGAGCGCCAGAAATCAGCAGTGAAGCGTGGATCTCTGTCCGATACGAGTTCACGGGGCAACCCATGAAGTCGGAAGAGGGTGTCGATAAAGACACAAGCACAGCCACTTGCCGTGATTGACTCTGGTACAGCCACAAGGTGTACCATTTTGCTGAATCTGTCAACAAATACAAGAATACCCGTATTCTTGCGTGCGTCTTTGGGTAACCCGAAGACGAAATCCATTGAGATGGAGTCCCAGCACTCAGCCGGAACTGGTAGAGGCTGTAAAGGTGCACGCAGTGAAGGACTTGACTTCACGCGTTGACAGACTTCGCATGCGCGAACGTACTTGCGCACAAACTGATACTGGCGGGGCCAGTAAAAGTCTCGACTCACCGTGAGATACGTTTTCTCACGGCCACGATGTCCTCCTATAGGAGCATCGTGATACTCAACATGATCCGCAAACGCAGATCAGTGTCATCTGGAATGACAACACGTGGTTTTTCACCAGAAACGGCTGTATAATACAGTAAACCGCTGCGAGTAGTGTATCGATCTGATGCAGATCGATACGCAGGCGACAATCGTTTCAACGATTCTCGGGATGGTTGGGAGAGATGTGTCAACAACTTCACAATCTCACCATCTTGGGCATATGCCCGCCTCACATCATCATACAACGTTGCAGATGGGACTGAGGACGTCATAATCGCAACAGTGACTGTCTCACTGTTGGGTTTCACGACTGGTTCAAAGTCGGGACGATGTGAGAGTGCATCAGCGACGACATTAAGTCGTCCTGGTTTGTACTCGACCGTAAAGTTGTATTCTGCAAAGAATGACAACCCCCGCGCCATTCGTTGTGAAAGGTGCGGGCTGTTCACTGCCGTGCGTAATGACGCATGGTCAGTGTAAACAATGAAGGGTCTATCTCCTAAGAGATAGACTCTGAACTTTGCGAGTACATAATTCATGGCAAGGAGGTCCTTGTCATGCACTGGATAGTTCCTCTCAGCTGGTTGCAGCTGACGCGACTGATAGCAGACAACGCGTTCAACGCCTTCAAGATCGTACTGCATTAATGCACAGCCGATTGCGAAATCGCTGGCATCACAGACTACATGTAATGGCCTGTCCTGATCGGCTATTGCTAGGACTGGGGATTGTATCAAGCTCTGTTTGATACCATTAAAGAAGCGCTGACATTCAGCGTTCCATAACCACCTCTCGTTCTTTTTCAACAAACGAGAGAGGTGCACAGTAATCTCGGCGTAATTGCGTGAATACTTTTGCAAATACGCCGCTAGCCCAAGGAATTTTCGAAGACCTTTGACATAAACCGGCACAGGCCAGTCGGTGATCGCCTTGATCTTTTCGGGATCAGGACGTACACCGTTCTTACCAACGATGCACCCAAGAAGTGGTATTTCGCTTGCTGCAAATATACACTTCTTGAGGTTTGCATACAATTGATGCTTTCGCATGATTGTAAGAACCTGTCGGACGTGGTACCTGTGAACCTCAACGTCCGACTTTCCATCCATAGCCCGACAATTGATGAATACGTCATCGAAATAACTCGGCGCGAATTCTCGTACTGGTCTCAACAGATGTGATACACATCTGTTGAACGTGGCAGGGGCATTACTAAGCCCTTGTGGCATTACATGCCATTCCCAGAGCATGCCGCTAGGCGTGCTAACTGCGGTATAGGGTATACCCCGTTCTCGCATAAGGATTTGATAGAAGCCATCCATCAAATCCATGGACGAAAAGATGGTACCCTTTGACATACCATCTATGATGACGTCCTTCCTCGGCATCGTCGTCTGAGCCGGTACCGTTGCAGCGTATAATTTATTGAGCGTGTGCAATACCGCCACCCTTCTCCGGCCTTTCGCACACAGATGGTCGGAGAGCTATATGGTGATGTTGATTCCTCACATGGCCCACAGCTAAACGATCGGCAAAGAATTTGTCATTCGCTGTGGCCTGTTCACGAGGCAGTGGCCACTGCTTCATGACACAGTACTTCGAGCCTGGTTTAAGCTTGACATCGTGCCAAGTACCTTTTTTCTTCGGGTACTCGCACGGAACAGTTTCAGGGAATACATCCTTTAATTCAACCAAATCTTCATAGAAAGGATTAGTCTTGAGCGATTCCCACGATTGGGAGTCATATCGCTCAACTCGTGTCTTTTCATCTAAGACGCTCTCGTCCATCGATGAACTACTGAGAACTCTCTCGTTCTCAGTAAACACTGTTGCTGACCTTATGTCGGCTACACACTCGTCGTCAGCGACGAGTACGCAGATCTGCTTGACCTTGCCACTACGCAGATCACGCAAGAACCTTTTATGTTCGAGCGTTGGCAACTGAGTGATCTCCGAAGTCAACTTCGGAGGCGCAATCAGATCAAGTGTATAAGCGCCTACACTTGATCCGTCATTGACTAGGACATTCAATGTCTCTGTCATTTCCTGGGGACTTATTCCCTCAGGCCTCGAAGGACTTATTCCTTCGGCTCCCGGGGACTTATTCCCGCGGGCTTCGGGGAACTTATTTCCGCCGTATTTGTAATCTTGGGACTTATTCCCTTAACTTCCTCTAGCTGTGGTTGCGCAACCACAGCGAGATCCTCTACGAAAGACTCTCCAGTCGATCTAGGATTATCGTTTCGCTTAACCTGAGCGATCGATTGTTTCTCTTCTAGATGAACCCTGCTAGGGATACATCTTTGTCCCGGTCCACTCGACTTATTCGAGTGGTGGACCTTCGGCGCAGCCTGTGTTTCCTCACAGCCGCGGGAACTTTGCTCCGAAGTGTAACAGTTTGTTACACTGAGGTTTTGTGCAGTCGTACTAACGACCGTACCACAAGTGAGGCCATCGCACTCACTCGTAGTACATCCACACGCTTGTGGACGCTCCAGAACTTTCATCAGATGGCCATCTGATGAACAAGCGGCAGGCATCGTTACTGTTCGATGTTGGTAGTTTACCCGTGGTTCGTACCTTCTGAGCCACGGTATTCCAAGGATGACATCAAATTTGTCATCCAAATCCTATACGATAAAGTCATCGTCATATTGGGTATCTTCTAGCGTATAGTGGATCTTCACTATACGCTTCATGACGGTTACGGATGCGCCTGTCGCAAGACGTACCGTCACCCTCGTAGGAGGTGTGTCACATTCAACATACTTGAAGTGACCATCTTCTAGCGATTGGCGTCGCACAAAATTGTTGGACGCCCCACAATCGACTAGAGCTCGAAGGGACAACTTATTCGTCACTTCGAGTTTCAAGGTAATGAGTGAGACCTCATTACCTAGAGCAGCAACGCACAACGTTTGTGTGTTGGGAGCAACCTCCATCAAGAGGCCTACAAATTCTCTTGACGTTGCTGGACCAGTAGGGTGCTCCGCACCTACTGATCCTGTCCGTTTTTTTACGGTCCATCCCGTTGTTGCGTCTTTGCACCAACAGCGGACCCGCGTCCCTGCCCCTTTCTCATGGGTGGACGGTCACTACGCTCAGTGTTGCGAGACACTGGACGAGGGGCACTACACTCGTAAGCGTAGTGTCCTGTCTTTTGACATCTGTTGCATCTCTGCAACTTCTTGTAGTCTGTAGAGCGAGCCTTCTCGCTCTCTACATAACAGAGTTCCATCGGCTCTGGAACTCCGCTGTCATATCGTCTCGGTGGAAGATATGATGTCGAGATGGCGCGAGCCTGTCTCAGACTGAATTCTTCCTGTTCCGCAATGGATATGGCTTGTTCTAGTGAATCTAGTTCAAGCCGGAACAGGTGAGTCTTGATGGGACCATCCGCAAGACCCTGCATGAACACCGAAACCAGCGTGTGTTCATCCACCGGATTGGAACTTATACAACTCGCAAGATGTCGTATATGTTGCGCGTAAGCGTGCACATCACGCTTACCCTGCTTGAGCTTCAAGAGTTCGGTTCGAGCTCTGAACTCAGCTCTAGGCGGTTCAAACGTTTGTCTGAGCCGCGACTTGAAGACTTCCAACGACCCAAACGCATATGGGTCGTGCAACTTGAGCCCCAAAGCCCAAGTCTTGGCACTTCCTGCCATATTTGACTGGGCACATGCAACTTGCATATCCCCGTCGTCGATGCGACGCGCCCTTATGGCGCCATCCAATTCGAAGAACCATCTCAAGAGGGAGTCCTCTTCGACTCCCCTATACTTGGAGATGTCAATCTTCAAGGTCTCGGGTCGACGCGAGTGCATCGACCCACCAGCAGCAGATTGCTGCTGTCTCAGCAGTTCAAACAGTTGAGCACCCTATTCTCTCAACAACTCTGCTTGTTGAGAACCTTGTTGGTAAAGCAAGGATACTTTCTCGCGTTCTGCGTCAAGTTCATTTTGAATGAACTTGGCGATAGTAGACAGGTGGGCATCTCTATTGAGAGCCTCTAGCATGACGCTAACAGCATGGATGCCCATGGTTGAACCCATCCGTTCAACCGCATCCCATTCGACATCGCTCAAATGGGAGTAGCCGTCACGCGTAGCGTGAAAGCTTTGGTCATCTTCATCATCCAACATATTCATGTTAGATGTGAACGTGGTCCTTGGACGGACTAGGAAGTGCTACCATGTGTAACGGGGCACCCTGAAGCTTGTACTGGTGACAGTACAAGCTACTTATTCTGATGACAGAATAAGGCGGTGCCTCGAAACTTCACGTACACTCGTACGTGCAGAGGAAGACGGTAAGGAGAAGCGAGTACTTGGTTAAAGTAAAAAGTAGAACTGTATTTGTCATAGTTAATGTCTGCAATAAATCACTATTCATCCTCATCTAAGTATGTCTGAATACAAATGTGCATATCAACTATCTGCTCACCACTCATTGCGTGCGTCTGTCGTGGCGCGTCTTCGTTGGTTGATACAATGGCCTATATCAACCAATTAGGAACTACTCGTAAGTGCTAAAGAATATTTGTCCTTATGACAATATTCTGAGAATGTAACTCTTATAGTTTTATTCTATTAACAATTTCTTAAAAATTGCTATGAAACAGTTCACCCCGTTACACTACTTCCTTTTACATGTTTCTAGCCACTCACAGAGTTTTTACACAACAACGCTGTTAACGTGTCTACAAGGTTGACGTCATTCTTTGTGAATTTGGCTCGTCACCCTTGAGTTGCTCTTCTGGCCGTGGAACATCCAACGGCTGTATTTGGCTTCACAATAAAGGGATCTGAACGTGGCATTTAACGATCGAGTGCAGCTCACGGTATTCTGAGCGCGAACGTCGTCACCCGTTCCAAGGCGAAGTCCGCTGTTTCGACGCCACAAGACATGGCGGTGTCCCTGCTTGCTTGAAGGACTTCAAAAACACTAATTGACCCATCTTCAGGTATGTGCTCACCTAAATCCAACTGCGCGCCGATTATCGGCGCGACCAATTGATGACATGGCTGTGTCGGAGTTCATACTTCACCGTCAAGCTATCACGAGGTTTGTACGAGATGCTCTTCAATCTGCATTGTATAAGCAGAAATAGAATGCAGACAAACGTGGAAGAGACAACATGAGTACATCCAAGAAAGGTGACCGTGTATTGCTATCTACTGAAGGTCTACGCGATTCGAAATTTACCAATTTAGGCGCGTGCAAGATATGCCACGTTTTATCGGCCTATTCACGGTGCTCAAGGAGATCGGCGACGCCTATACGCTGGATATCCCTTCTTCGTTGCGCCTACAACCGACGTTCTACGTCGGGAGACTGAAAGAGTACCCTCCGGCCACGCTTCACGGGTTGGTTCCGACCCCGGAGGAAAAGGCTCAAACGTTGACCTTCCCTCCTGTCTTGCTTGAAGAGCTGAGGACATCGAACGCGGCAGCGTTCCATTCTGCGCGGGCCCAAGAACCTGGCATTCCAGGTTCCTCATCCCTTCGAGCATTTCGCGGGTCGACTGTCGAATCTCGCTCGCAGTCCTCTCAGCCCGTGCAGCTCGATCAAGGGCAGCTTCAGCTTCCAGCTGAGCATCGACAGCCTTGTTCACCGCCGCATCCACATCATCCTGGGCAACCATGAAGCCAACGCTATCATCTACAGGGCCCACCGTCGCTTGTGGATGTGGTAGGACCACAGCACTGTATTGTGGAGCGTTTACTGGGTCACGAGGATCCTCGTCGCTATGCGACATCGTCGCGACTAAATGCGCGCGCGGTTCCGAGCGCGCGCAAGCATATGCTACTTTAGCTCGGATTTCCACCCGAGCTAGATACGTGGGAACTGCGTTCGTCACTTCTTCAGGACGTTTTAGACGTCGTTCGAGCATTTGAGTCCGTGGAAACGCCCAATCTTAATGCGTCTGATAACGTATGTGTTCTCGTGGCGAGTGAGAACGAGACGAGCGATTACGGCGTCGTGGTAAAGTGTCATCACGACGACGAGACAAAGAGCGACGACGATGTTGTGGAGAAAGGATCACCACGACCACGATAACGAGAGTGTCGTCGTGATGGACGTGCTTGACCACGACTTTGAGAACGAGAGCGTCGTGGAGAACGTGTATACACACGACCACAAGAATGAGACCGTTATGGTAGACATACATCTCGACCACGAGATCGAGATCGTTTTGTTAGATATTCATCACGACCACAAGAACGAAAGCGTCGTAATGGATCCACATCACGACCACGTGAACGAGATAAGTGTCGCCGTATCGACGCACCACGAATAACTACAGTCTTTCGCTCATTTTAGCTGCGCTCATACCTTCCAGTCCAGAGCTGTTCACATTCGCTGAGTGGATGCTTAGCGACGTGCTGTCACCAAGCTGTGCGAGTTGGACGAGGCATCGAGTCACAAGATTAACAACATTTCGTGCACATGGACATAGCAGAGTCGGTCTACATTCCGATCGTTCTCGCATATCTTCTTGTGCAGCACGCCGATAGAATGATCGGCGTGAATGTTTTCACGATGGGCAAACCACTGATAAAGGTACTTTCCATCCTCAAGCATACGGTTCCACCGCCGGACGAACGCGCATTAAGAACGCTGTAGCGAGTCATAGGAGATGCCTTCAAGGCTCTTTCCGTGTGGACCGCGAAAGCGCCGGAAGTAATTCTGCATTGTTTCAACAGAGTCCGGAGCTTGACATCTAGACAGGTCGTGTAGCGACCTAGGGATCAGGTGCTGATGTATCACGCGGTCTGCTGAACTTCCGCACATTGTGCGCGGGAGTGCTGTGGCGCTAGTGCTCGCGTCTGCGGTCATCTTTCCGTTTGACGGACTGTTGGGGTATTGCAGTTCAGCACTCATTGCTCGTGATAGCCGTTTTAAGAAAGGGGTGATGTAATGGGCCACCCCGTTACATAAGTAGTTTCGATTATTTTACATGCTACTTAAGTAGGGGAGCTAATTCTGAGTTAGTGGAAGTCTCACGTCGTATACGTTTGCTGCTTTAAAGGGCTTGGTCCCATGATTAACCAGTAAGATATCGGCAAGTAGATTATGTAGTTCCCGTGAGTCCCATTCGTACTTAGGATGATGAAAGACAAAAAAGAAACGCAGTTATGTTTCTACTTAAACCTAAGACTTGGGCTTTAAGGATTTCTCAAAGCAGCACATAGTGTAGGTTTTGTACGGTTCATTGTGGACCCGTAGCATTACGCAGATGCGTAATGGGGAATCCACGTTGACGATTGGTGATTGTTTCCAGGTACAATGGTCATGACCAGTGGTGCACCCGTTGCTCACGTCCAAGTGCCAGTGCACGGTCGCCCTAAGCTTGACTGATGCGAAGTAAATGGCTAATAGCCTGTGTGATGAATAACTGCTATGGGACTGCAAGATGATCAAGGATTGTAGTCATGAGCAAGCGGGAACAACGTGAACCTAGGAAGATAGTCTAGGTGCGATTGTACTCGCAAGAAAAGTATGTGATGATGACAGGACCAAGTACGTTTTTATCGGTCACCACAATATTCAAGAGAATGTGACACGCAAATTCGTTACGGTCAAGTACGAGTCGACAGTAGAGCAACTCGCATACATGCTTTCTAAGGCTTTAGAGACGAAAATAGTCAAGTACCTGCTTCACGTAAGGGCATTAAACGGATGAACATAATTCTCGATGAGTGAAAGTGTTGTGATTACACAGTCAATTACTTACATCCTTTAAACCATTAGTTGTGCGCAAGTTGGCGATTACTAAGTTGTAGATAGAAAAATCAATGCAGAAGGCTCAGAATGGCAACAGAAGTCTTAGGACGAGGGGCCAACTTCAACTCACTAAACATTTTGTCATCTTCCGTAAATCTCCCTTTAACAGCTTGCTTCGTACACTAACAACTCCGTGCGTTCTCTACAGTAATTGTTTTTTAAAGCTAACGCTTTTCGTTCTTGTTTAAGGGTATAACTTGCAGTTGGCTTAAGTCCGTTTTGTCTAGTTCCTCGCCTTTCATATGCACGTCGTTGATCTATTTTTAACTGAATGATAAATTATCGGTGATCGGTGACCGCCGACTCCAAAATTTAGCTTTTGTATTCAAGTTCTGTCGAATAAAACGTAGAAGAAAATGTAACATTAAAACTGCGAAGTCTTTTTCAATAGCTCAGTCTGTCTTGTTTTGGATACAATATCGTCGTAGCGGTCGTATAGCATTACTCGGGAAATTAATGGTGCGTGTGGCGTACGGCTTTTTGTTAACGTGCTCGCATCTCTATTTTAGCGGTAATCTTCTACTCGCACCAAACGCCTATCAGTCATGCATATACCCAACCGAGAGACCGACCTAAAGTTTCAACTGTACTTACTTATGGCTACAATACAATCTATAGGGAAGGAGTCTGCCCTAAGTTTTGGTGCCAACAGAGACCACAGACGTGTTTTGCCGTTCCGATAGTTGAATATAATATTCAGTGTCTTGCAAAGAAGATTTTAATTCAGTAAAATGACGCAAGATTTACACATCAAATTTTAAGCATTCAAAATCGAGTGTTTCCCAGCACTTTTCCCTCTAGCTTGCAAATTTATTAGGTAAAGTACCTTTCCCAATTCTAGAAATATTAGCTTCCTATATTGTGTGTGGCTATGATAGATACACCACATAGTAAATGACTGATAAGACGCACCCGCTGATCGCTCTTCGTCAAGTACTTGGGACGACTAAGCTTTCGCTAAAACAAATGTCTGAGTCCAAATCCAAGGCCACAAAGTTTCTTCACGACTACTGCTTCAGCGCAAACAAGATGTGCATCATGACAAGTGGCAGTAGGAAATGCACTAATTACGGTTGCGTAGATAAGGAATGCACGTATGAAGTGCGCGTAAGTCTGCGAGTTGATAAGGCCATGTACGTCTCTTTAATCAATGACAAGTGTTACGACTTTCGTACGTTTATGTCAAGCCCAACCATACAACAGATACCCTCATCTCAAACAGTTTAAGCGGCCATACGTGGTGACAGAAGCATGAAGCGCAAGACGATAATGTCACTCGTTTAAGGTCGCGATCAAACCGACTTTAAAGCGAACAAGTAAAAGCTGTACAGAGAAGATGATGATGTGGTCTACATGATTGATGTGACGTATATTAAATGTTTCATAAAACTGACTAATTTGCTAACAGAAGTTCGCAAAAAAATTTCGAAACGACTGTGCGACTTATAGGCGATCAACACAGTCGCTATTTACACGTATTTCTACAGTTTGGGGTGAATGTTAGCAGTTAGCCACCATTTACGATTATCGTATTGGATGGAATGCACTCTCGACACCTTAAGTATACCAGGAGTTTGTTTCACTTCTAGTTAGATACGGCAACTGTTATATGTCTCTCTTTCTGCGACGCTAGTTAACTTCGAAAACGAAAGTAACGCGATGTGATTTATCTCTCGGTGCGAAGATCCCTTTTCCTATCACTGATAGGTTAAATTTCTGAGATACTGCTCATATTCGGGCGTCTGAGACGAAGGTAAACAGCACTATAAAGGTATTAATCGAGCTCCGATTGTGCACAGTTTGCATCAAGCGCAACTAATGAGGCAACACGGATGTTGCGGGAGTGATTCTATGAACGCGTTATGGAAGGCACAAACGGCCGAAACGAAGCAAGAAGTTCTTGGGTTCATTCGTTCGACTTGAATGCGGTGGTGCTGTTGCATCTTATAATTATGGTGTAATCTTTAAAAGCTGGATGGTACACGCATACGTGTCGAGCTTCATGTCATCACATGTACCTAAAGAGATTAAACTTCCTATTGCAATGCCACTGTTCGGCTGGAGAATATTAAACTTCGTTGAAAGTGACAATAGCGCGATGATCAAGAAATGCATGCGAAATTCGGTACCTTACAGCGCTTTATAAAACTTGCCAGTCGAAATAAGTCGTGCCAATCAGCGTAATGTTAATGCTCGCCATAGATTTAAAACGACTGCACTCTTACCCCCCTCTAAAAACCGATTTGGGATAAATAACGCTCTCTTTTCGTTCAGCATGCAGTGCAAAGATCTGTGAGTAACGTATAATTCGGATGTCATCCAGGATCATCTAACTTTCGTCGTGTGGGTACAGCACAGCCTGTATTTTTGTGTCCTACGTTCGATCAGTTTAAGATCGCTTGCCGCCATATAGTTGCTGCACTACATACAAGTGGAAATCATGATCGTTGCATGAAAGCATTTCATTCGTTTTATTATGTAAGTACGTACGTGAAAGTTATTCAACAAAGAAATCGAGCTTGCCCTTAACACGGATAGTTTCCGACAAAGGAAGTTAGCCCCATCCTCATCATACAAGCAGGCTGGATGCCCACACAAGAGATGATTCTTTAGTGCAGGCTAGACTGGGACCAAATCCAGCTATGCATGTCGAATATGCCGTCGCGTTGGTCATTAACAGAACCACGAGTCATCGACACGCTAGCATAACAGAAAATTATACCGCAGCTTACGTGCTTTATATCGTAGAAATGCCGAGTCATGCGCAGTACTAAAAAAAAGGACAGAAAATTACAAAGGTGTACCACGTTTCATCGTAAATTTGTTTCACAAAGCACAGTATCAGATAGATATTTCTATCACTAGCATTTCTCTGGATCACATTGCTTCTCTACCATTTGGAGTGTGACGTAAAGGTTTGGTGACTTTAAACACAAGGCGAGTCGACAATGCTCAAGACGTATCATTATCGAGCAAAAAAATAAAAAACCTCGATTATACGGGTCATGTGTCCCTAAACCGACTCAGCATTGGATACTATGAACTAACGAGGATATTCAAATTAAGCGCTTGGATAATACAAAACAAAACCTGTTAAGATGGCCTCTATCTGACAGTCTCGTCAAAATAATTTAATTATTGATTAACTGATTGCGCTAAACGATCAATCAGCAATTACGTTGTTTTTACATAATACCGCACGACCCAGCGTGAGACTTGTTCGTCACTACTAGACCTTGTTGCATCTGCAGTCATGTGGCTGTACCTAAAGCTTCAGGATCAAAATACTTAATATGCTCTGATGGTCAATTACACTTAAGGATCGCTACCATAGCATTCATGATATGCGCACAAAAGACCTGCAATCCGTAGTACAAAGCACATTCCGCTCGTTAGCATTAGTACATTTGCCAGATTTAAAACATCCAATTTCAGGACACACCTTACGTGCGTTTAAGCTTTCCGTTACGCGCACTGTACTCACGACTTGACGCCTTCTTACCTCTTATCATT